GCCATTTGTAGTCAACTTGTAGTCCTATTGTTTCATTGGTTGTCTTGGTTCCTTTCCCAGGTGTGTCTTGTTACCTTGTTATCCTGTTTGCGTCTCTGTGTATAAATAGCCCAGTGTTTCAGTTAGTATTTGTCAGTTGTTGAATGTCTGTGATGGTTGCTCCCTGCCCTTGTCTGAGTTCCTTGTTTTACCCATGTTGGATTACTTGTTGGTTCCTGAATTTTTATTAAACTCCTGCATCTAGATCCTCACCTCTGTTTGCCTCATCTCATCTCTGCAACGTTATATATATATATATATATTTAAATAAATTATTTTTATTAAAATAAACATGTTTAAATAAATAAATGAAAGAAAAAATGTAGAAATAAATTAGAAATGTAACAAAAAAAAGATTAAATTTTCTTATAAGAAAACAGTAATTGTAAAACTTGTTTTGACTATTTTAACTAGATTTTTGCATTAAATATCTACTTTGTAAAAATCACTGCTTGGTCCAAATGATGTTTTTATGTAAAATGTTAAATATTAAAACCATGGCAGAGAAATAAATATCACATTTTTATCTACAGTATATCAGCCATCTCTGAAAATGCAGATACCCAGTGTTGACTTCTGTATCTGTAATATTAGATAAATGATGAATGACAGATGCCTTGCCGGTCTAATGCTTTCATGTTTTAATTAGTCCCTTGACTGTACATGGACAGAAAAATGGTTTCGGTTGAATAGTGGCAAACATTTGATGGACGCACGCTGCAGTTCCTAAGAGAACCCTTAGACGGACTGTGCTAGATCATCACCAAACCAGCACTAACCAGACTGGACCGGCATAGAAATTCATGCTGGTTTTATGATGGTCAACAGGGAAGCCATAATCCTTCCGTTACTGGTCTGGTCAACCTGGCGTTTTCTTTGCACATCGTATTAAGCTTGGTGAGCGACTTTAGCTCTTCTCTCATTGTGGTGCACATTAATTTGTGCTCACTTTATCTCCTAACCTCTGGTGCATTTTGATGAACGCTGTGACTAAGCAATGCTAAAGCAGGAGAGTGTGTCCATTTTCTGTGTATGGAAGCGTCCACTACACTGCAATGAGGGCTATAGCAGAGCTGTATTTTAGAGATATATTTGGACTCTGATGGGAAATTTGCTCTGTCAGAAAGCCCATTTGCGGCAGATGTTGAGATAATAGAGTAGAGCAGGATCTTTATGACCGTGCAACCAGGGCCGTTGCAACTTTGACATGGTATCACCATATTAAGTTACAGGGACAGTCTGCTTGCTGCAGCCTATAGTTAAATGTCTTGCTCAAGGATGATATCTTAAAGAGTGCTGCATGCAACCACTTGATTGCAGTCTAGATCTATAAAGGTGGTGTGTGTCATTTTTCTGGTGTGAAAACCAGTAGCCCCTCACTGCAGAACACAAGATCCAGGGGGCGTGGTTGGATCAACATCTAGGGGGTGGAGATTGGTAGGTTTAGGGGTGGAGCTCTGGGAGATTGGTAGGTTTAGGGGTGGAGATGAGTGGGTTTAGGAAACAGGGGGTGGAGACGGGTAGGTTTAGGTATATGTAAGGTGGGAGGAGTTGGATCTGGATCCAGCCACGCCCCCTGGATCTTGTGTTCTGCTGTGAGGACCATCTAGTGAAAACACTCTTTTATGTTCTAGTTTAATATGCACAGACAACTGTAAGTAAACCATTTGTAGACTGGTTTGTCTGTAGGTCTGTGAAAACGTTGCATCCCTGATAACAAACGTTGTTCGTTCTTTGTTGTTTGTTATACTGATAAACGGTGGCAGGACTATCTGTTTTTCTCTAATCGAGAAGTCTAATTTATGCTGTAACTGTAATAGTAAATGTAAACCGTAAATAATTTAATACTTTTCATCTTGTCTATTCAATTTTCAAATTGAGGTCCGTGATACTGGAGCTCCGAGGAAAATTCTTTGCAAAGAATATTAACAAATGCATTTTGACAGTATGAAATCAAAAGCAATAATTGTTAATAGTTTTATATAAATTATTGAAATGTATTATTTTCTAATATCTATAATAACAATATATAATTTAGATATTTGTTTATTATTATTTATTTGAATAATGAATAGTATTTTATTTATTTTATATAATATTCAATCATTAATGATAATCAGAATTGTAATAATAATAATGTTCATCTTTATTCTGTTCTATACTATTCTATTCTGTTCTGTTCTGTTCTATTATATGTACTATAATATAATATGTTTGATATTTTATTTAGTTTAATAAGAAATCATATTTATTAAAAATGAATAATAATAGATAGTATACATGTATTATGTATTATTAATAATGTTCATCTTATTTTCCATGTGTTCAAGAATTGTATTTGTGTTGTATCATCCAACCGTTTTTGTGTTTCACCTTTTTTATTCTTGTATTGACTAGAAAAAAAGATACGTAATTAATTTAATAGACAGTAAATATTTTTCAGATAATATTTGAATAACTTGTTGTTGTGCAACAAAGTATGAAAGCATTAAATTGTGGAAACAATTAAATTTGTAACTTTTTAATATCATGCTTAACTATTACACAATATAAGAATGTCTGTATACATGTAAATATGCAGCACAAGGGGATCATCCTATTTAGTGGTTCTTCTGGGCATTATGATTTGAAAATGTTATAAATATTTTATTCTTTCTTCAGTTCCCCTATGGAGTCAGTGCTGTTCTACGCCATTACCACGTTACACAACCTGTTACTGCACCAGGAGGGAGCCAAGATGGCAGTGCGTCTGGCCGATGGACTGCAAAGGATGGTCCCTCTTCTGAAAAAGACCAACCCCAAGTTCCTGGCCATCACCACGGACTGCCTGCAGCTGCTGTCTTACGGCAATCAGGAGAGCAAGGTGTCGTATCATCACTGAGAATGCATTGCCTTAGAGACTGATTTCACTTAAAGTATATTTTTGGCCTTAATCTGTGTGGTTTTTCTCTCTTCACAGTTGATCATCCTGGCAAATGCTGGGCCAGAAAGTTTGGTGTTCATTATGAGAAACTACAACTATGAGAAGCTCCTATGGACCACCAGCAGAGTCCTGAAGGTGCTTTCTGTCTGTCCAAGCAACAAGCCGGCTATTGTTGACGCTGGTGAGTAAATGTGTGTGTTACGTTCTTCATTTAACACTCTTTTCCCCTTTGTTTCGCTTTTATGTATTTTTTTATTCCCAGACCCTAGAGGAATATTCTTATCTCTTTTCTTTCATTCCCAAGGACTGCTCTCTTGGGCATTATTGTATAATTTCCCTGTAATATCACAATCTCCATCTCTTTTTTTTTCTGCTTCAGATTTTGTCTGGGTTTTTGTCTGAGGGTGTTGGGGGCTTTTTGCATATTTTTCCTCACTTTTTGATGAACGAATTTGCATGACTTTTACAGTCATTAGAGATTATTACATGGTTGGATCCACATCTAGGGGGTGGAGATTGGTAGGTTTAGGGGTGGAGCTCTGGGAGATTGGTAGGTTTAGGGGTGGAGATGAGTGGGTTTAGGAAACAGGGGGTGGAGACGGGTAGGTTTAGGTATATGTAAGGTGGGAGGAGTTGGATCTGGATCCAGCCACGCCCCCTGGATCTTGTGTTCTGCTATGAGGACCATCTAGTGAAAACACTCTTTTATGTTCTAGTTTAATATGCACAGACAACTGTAAGTAAACCATTTGTAGACTGGTTTGTCTGTAGGTCTGTGAAAACGTTGCATCCCTGATAACAAACGTTGTTCGTTCTTTGTTGTTTGTTATACTGATAAACGGTGGCAGGACTATCTGTTTTTCTCTAATCGAGAAGTCTAATTTATGCTGTAACTGTAATAGTAAATGTAAACCGTAAATAATTTAATACTTTTCATCTTGTCTATTCAATTTTCAAATTGAGGTCCGTGATACTGGAGCTCCGAGGAAAATTCTTTGCAAAGAATATTAACAAATGCATTTTGACAGTATGAAATCAAAAGCAATAATTGTTAATAGTTTTATATAAATTATTGAAATGTATTATTTTCTAATATCTATAATAACAATATATAATTTAGATATTTGTTTATTATTATTTATTTGAATAATGAATAGTATTTTATTTATTTTATATAATATTCAATCATTAATGATAATCAGAATTGTAATAATAATAATGTTCATCTTTATTCTGTTCTATACTATTCTATTCTGTTCTGTTCTGTTCTATTATATGTACTATAATATAATATGTTTGATATTTTATTTAGTTTAATAAGAAATCATATTTATTAAAAATGAATAATAATAGATAGTATACATGTATTATGTATTATTAATAATGTTCATCTTATTTTCCATGTGTTCAAGAATTGTATTTGTGTTGTATCATCCAACCGTTTTTGTGTTTCACCTTTTTTATTCTTGTATTGACTAGAAAAAAAGATACGTAATTAATTTAATAGACAGTAAATATTTTTCAGATAATATTTGAATAACTTGTTGTTGTGCAACAAAGTATGAAAGCATTAAATTGTGGAAACAATTAAATTTGTAACTTTTTAATATCATGCTTAACTATTACACAATATAAGAATGTCTGTATACATGTAAATATGCAGCACAAGGGGATCATCCTATTTAGTGGTTCTTCTGGGCATTATGATTTGAAAATGTTATAAATATTTTATTCTTTCTTCAGTTCCCCTATGGAGTCAGTGCTGTTCTACGCCATTACCACGTTACACAACCTGTTACTGCACCAGGAGGGAGCCAAGATGGCAGTGCGTCTGGCCGATGGACTGCAAAGGATGGTCCCTCTTCTGAAAAAGACCAACCCCAAGTTCCTGGCCATCACCACGGACTGCCTGCAGCTGCTGTCTTACGGCAATCAGGAGAGCAAGGTGTCGTATCATCACTGAGAATGCATTGCCTTAGAGACTGATTTCACTTAAAGTATATTTTTGGCCTTAATCTGTGTGGTTTTTCTCTCTTCACAGTTGATCATCCTGGCAAATGCTGGGCCAGAAAGTTTGGTGTTCATTATGAGAAACTACAACTATGAGAAGCTCCTATGGACCACCAGCAGAGTCCTGAAGGTGCTTTCTGTCTGTCCAAGCAACAAGCCGGCTATTGTTGACGCTGGTGAGTAAATGTGTGTGTTACGTTCTTCATTTAACACTCTTTTCCCCTTTGTTTCGCTTTTATGTATTTTTTTATTCCCAGACCCTAGAGGAATATTCTTATCTCTTTTCTTTCATTCCCAAGGACTGCTCTCTTGGGCATTATTGTATAATTTCCCTGTAATATCACAATCTCCATCTCTTTTTTTTTCTGCTTCAGATTTTGTCTGGGTTTTTGTCTGAGGGTGTTGGGGGCTTTTTGCATATTTTTCCTCACTTTTTGATGAACGAATTTGCATGACTTTTACAGTCATTAGAGATTATTACATTATTACGGATTTCTGAGATTGCTGCGGATGATTTCCATTTGTTTGTTGTGAAACAATTCTATTATTTAAAAAAAGAAAGAGAGGAAAAAAGATTTGAACTATTATACTCTACCCTTTAAAACTTTGGGGTTGGTAAGATTTTTTTAATGTTTTTGAAAAAAGTCTCTTAGGCTATGTTCACACTTGGCGTCTTTTTTGACAAGAAAAAGTTGACAAGGGCGTTTTTTTAGTGAAAAAAAAGAAAGCTGGCAGCGTTTCTGTTACAAATAGCAGCCGAGGGCGTCTTTTGTTGCTATAGCAACAGCTGCAACAGTAACCTAGCGCTGTGTGGTGCAAAAATGTAGAGAAAAAGGAAATTGGCTCTTGCGTTGGCTTTTTAAGTTAACGGGAAAGAGAATGTCGGTTTACAACGACGTTTGTGGGTGCACGACATTATACGGGGAAGGAACCATTATGGTGCTTACAACAATTTAGTCCAGGAGCTCCGGTTGGATGATGCACGGTAGTGCTGTGCGGTATGACCAAAAATTTATATCACGGTATTTTTCAAAATTATACCGGTTTCACAAAAATACCACACTAAATAGTGACTAAACACGACCCCTTTTAATGTTAACCAGGAGGCACTCTCATTTATACGATTATAAAATTGATTTTATCAGCATCGTCTGATAAAATCAACATGCATCATCTGTTCCCTCACCACAGTGCAACAGTGAAAAGGGACCCCTTTCAAACAGTGTCGCGTTCCGAACGTTGTTTAAGTGACATACACCGGTATTGCGGTATTTTAAAAATTCATATTATAACAAAAATAAATTCTGTATTCGGTATGAACCGGTATACCGCCCAGCACCAATGCACGGTTTGCGGCATATTTTAGACTAAACATTAAAACATTATTATTATACTAAATATTTTGTGCTCTTATCATATAACTCCTTGTGCTCCGAAACTAGTACGATCAGTTTATCTACCGGCACCTTCTCCATTTTTTCTTGTTCTTGTTGTTATGGAAACGAGTAGGTCTCGCTACTCGCTTGTCATTGGTCAGCTGTCAAAAAGGCGCTTGACGTAGGGCGTTTTTTTCAGAAAAGTTAAACTTTTTTCAACTTGAAAAGATGCTCTGAGCTGCAGAAAAAGATGCCGGCGGTGGCGTTTAAAAAAGTGCTCAGGACTTTTTTGAAAACACGGTTTACTCCATAGGATTATAATGTAAAACAAACGCTGGCAGCTTAAAAAAAGACGCTAAGTGTGAACACGCCCTTATGCTCACCAAGGCTGCATTTATTTTGAACAAAAAAATACAACTAACCCAACTGTTTTGAAAAAAAACCCTGAGATTTGAATGCAAATCAATGGATGATTCAGCTTTCTGAGCTCCTTTGCACAGCATGACCAGGAATCACCAGAAAATCACTATTACTTTATTTTTATTACTGTTCCATGACTGGTTTTTATGACCGTCAAAGACAGTGGAGAGTCCCATATTTTTTTTAAGAAGAGAAGGGAAATGAGATCGGGACACGTTACAAGCCAAACTTGAATCTGCATCATCCACATTGGCACTATGACTCAACATATCAGCAGCATGTGTGTTAAACCCGCTATATTAGAGTCCCAACAATACAGGGTTTAGCCATTGAGCTCAACTCAAGTAGATTTTCCATTAAAACTAATATTACAGATGCAGTTTATGTAAAAACCCACCTTTATCAAACCCGCCTGTCAGCACTGTTTCACGGCAGTCACTGTATGGGTTTTACTTCATTAACGCTGACCTTTCAGCGAATTAATACTTAGAGATACAACGACAAAGGTTGCGGGACTCAAATATCTCACTCTATCGTGCCTGCCAGAGCTGATCTCATAAAAGTCTTCACAGTTATGGCGTGACTATGTCCTCTTCCCATATGACGTTTCGACACTCGCTTGAGAAAGCGCTGAGGATCGTGTAGTTACAACACTGGATGAGAGGCCGTTTTCAAGGATGTCTCCTAATCTCCTTCCCTCTTTTTATCTTCCTAAGCCATGTGGCTTTTAGTTTATCTTCACAGACTCCAAAAGACATTTCTCTCTCCTTGGCAGACAATGCCTAATCCATGGAGAAATACAGCCGCCTTCTTTTTAGAGCAGGTTGTGTAGCTGGATAATTTTGTCCTTTCTTCCTTTTTTTTTTGTGGCTAAGTCCGATAAATATGGACTCTAAGCCTTTTTCTCTCCATTTGGCAGGAGGTATGCAGGCTCTCGGCCAACATCTCACAGGTTCGAGTCAGCGTCTGACACAGAACTGCCTGTGGACCCTGAGGAATCTCTCTGACGCTGCAACCAAGCAGGTAAAATGAGCTGTTCCTCTCTGTAGACCATGTGTTTGTTACAACGGTGCACTGTACTTAAAGGAGTAGCTCACTCAAAAATGAAAATTTGCTCACATTTGCTCACATTTTTACTCACCCTCAGGATTTCCCAAATGTAGGTGACTTTTTTTCTTGAGTCAAACAGTAAAGATGTTTTTTAGCTGAAACTCTGGTCTTTGGTGATTCATAAAATGCAAGTCAACAGCTTTGAGAATAAAAAAGCAAATCAAGGAACACTGAACACCCGTGGCTCCTGACGATATACTGAGGTCTTATGAAGAGAAATGATCAGTCTGTGCAAGAAACTGAACATTATTTACAACATTATTACCTGTAATCCAGAGCCTCAGGCAAGCAGTCCGGAGTGATGTCCGGTTCACGAACGAATCATTCTTTTGAACCGGTTCTTTTTGGTGAACTAGTTGAACCAGTTCACCAAATCGGACTGAACCGAAACTTGAAATTCAAGCAGCACAGATCTACAGGTTACTCAAAACTCACTTCGGATGCCTGACAGTCACTCTGAGTTGAAATGAGCCAAAACACCGGCGTATATGATCCAATCATGAAAGAAGTCATTCAGCGCTCCATTTCCTCCAACAGTCACTGAAACTGAGGAAACAGATCAAACTCAGACTGAAGACCGATGAGCCGCTGAATGAAGGGGCAAAAGGAACGTTTTTATGTTTTCTCATTGTTTGTGTAAAGACTAGTTGATTCACTTTATATGCATTAGACATGTAAAACATCCACGTTTCACATCATTATTGGGTGCTTTAATAATATAATTGTGTGTACATTACATCATAGTGTGATTACGAAAACATACTGGAGAATCAGTTATTTGAACCAGAAACGAACTGTCCGAAAGAGCCAGTTTGTGGAAAAGAATTAAATTTCCCCCGTTTGCCTGAGGCTGTGTATATACAGGTAATCACGTTGTAAATAAGGTTCAGTTTCTTGCACAGACCGATCGTTTCGCTTCATAAGACCTCAATTTATTATCAGGAGCCACAGGCATTAATTTTGTGTTCCTTGATATGTTTTTTTATTTTCAAAAATCGTGCAGCTGCTGACTTGCATTTTATGAATCGCCAAGGACCACGGTTTCAGTTAAAAATCCTCTTTACTGTTCTTCTGAGGAGGAAAGTCACCTACATCTTGGATGGCATGAGTGTAAATTAAAAGCAAATTCTCATCTTTGGGTGAACTATTACTTTAACTTCCTAGCATCCACCCAGAAAAGCCTAGCAAACACCTAAAACACCCAGAACATCCAATTTACTGCCTAGCAACTGCCCAGAACATCCTAGCAACCACCCAAAAGTTGTTGTTTAAAAAGGAAAAGCTGTGTTTTTGTGTTTTACCTTGGTATTGTTTTCTGGATGTAGAAAAATGATCCAGATTATCAGTCAATCATGAATCTATACTGAGCGTGAAATGGCTTTATAAAGCAGATAATTAGAATATTTGCTTACAAATTAAATAACAATACCATTTTCAATATTGCATTCAGTTATTAAATGTGCTGTGCAGCCAGAGCTTGAATGCCTCTGAACATCTTTCATGTAGTCTGACAGATTTTCCTCTGTACTTTCTAATGGTTTTATAGTGCAGGCAACTGGTGGTTTTCATAATTGTTCCTCACCTCCTCACAATCTATCCCTCATCACTGCTACTCAGAATTCAGTGGCCCAGAAAATGCACAATTAACGATAAACAGGTTATAATTTTCACCCTTATTATTAAATTCGTTTTAGTGGACGTGTCTCCTGCTCCCACAGAAAGTGTGTAGAATTTAAATGTGTGTATTTGAGCGTCTGTCCGTCTCTAATCCTTCACAAACTCGCGTTCATTCTCATCTCGTTTTTCCACTGCCTTTGCTCTTTCATTTGTTTCTTATCTCAGTCTCCTCCTCTTCTATCATGTCTTTCATTTGTGATAATTAGCGGTTATGACTGCCTGATTCTTGAAATGTCGTGTTTTTATGTGAATCTTTTGCACTGTCACCGATCATTTATGATCTATTAAAAAGGTGAATGTTAAATGAATATTCTGGGTTCAGCACAAGTTAAACTCAGTCGACAGTATTTGTGGCTTGATGTTGATGACCTCAAAAAATGATTCCACTTGTCCCTCTTTTCCTTTAAAAAAGGCATTAATCTGGATCACAGTGAGGTTCTTGCAATGGATGTGAATGAGGCTAGTTTGTAAATGTTGAAAATGTGTATAGCCACAAGATGTAAACAATATGCATGTTAACAAAATTATTTTTGTGGTAATCAACATTATGTCACAAATGTTGCCAGTGGAGCTTTTTTTTTTAAAGAAATTAATACTTTTATTGAGCAATGATGCATTAAATTGATCAAAAGTGACAGTAAAGACATTTATAATGTTACAAAATATTTCTATTTCTAAATAAATGCTGTTCGTTTGAACTTTCTTTTCTTTAAAGAATCCTGAAGAAAATTATCATGGTTTTCTCAAAAATATCAAATGAGCATATTAAAATGATCATGTGACACTGAAGACTGGAGTAATGATGCTGAAAATTCGGCTTTACCATCACAGGAATGATTTACATTTTTAAAATAGATTCAAATAGAAAACTGTGATAATGATATTTCACAGTATTCCTACTTTTACTGCATTTTACGTCAACTAAAGGCAACCTTGGTGAGCCATCAGGGTTATTATAGTTAACTAAACCTAAAAACATAAAAAAATAATAATAAACTTTGTTTTCAGTTAGTTGCCAAAGCAGCATTTCTCCTTTTCATTTAGTTTAACTTGATATACTAAAATAAGTCAAACTAAAACTGAAATCAAAAATAATAAAAACTATATGGACAAAATAAATTAATAAAAAACAACTAATAAACTAATAAAACTAATAACTAATAAAAAATGACAAAAAATACAACAAAAATACAAAAATGTTAACAAAAATGAAAATGGAAAATACAATATACTGTATATATATATATAGAGAGAAGGAGGACGTGGCCGAGCCGGCCGTCTGTGCCCTGCGTCACCTCACGAGCCGCCACCCCGACGCAGAGCTGGCCCAGAATGCAGTGCGTCTGCACTACGGCATCCCCGCCATCACCAAGCTCTTAGGCCAGCCGCACTATTGGCCTGTGGTAAAGGTCTGTATGTGTTATTTTGTGTGTATGTGGGTGTCTGAATTGCTGCCAGTTTGAAAGTCCTCTCCGCCTTTTAAATTTAAAGGTCAGATTTGAATCGTCTGGGGGCAGTTCTTGCATGCCTTTGATGTGGAAGAATGCTGAGACTTGCCTCTTGCGTTAAGCTGATTTGCTGCCGCATCTTAGTCATTGAGCGGCACTCCTACGCTCCTCTGGGGCTTCGGCGTAATTTTGAGGACACTAGCTGGAACAATAAAAGAGCCCTCAAGTATCATATACGAGGAACCGCTGCCATACACAGACTGAGAGCTGTTAATCCTTGTATCAGAATGCCTGAAATCATTTTGTGTTATATAGAAGAAAAATTATATGGAATGGCATGAAGGTGAGGAAATGAGGACAAAATAAGAAAGGACATTCACACTGATAGCTTTTTGGAAGAAAAAAGGCATCAGGAGTCACTGATTTTCAAAGAAAGTTGAGCAACGGAGACCATTTGTGATGCAACAAAGTTTGGTAGAACTTAACTTTATGCAAATATTATGGCTCTAACAATGGTGCAAATTTGGGGCGGGACTCTGTGTTGGGGGAGTGGCAGACAGGGGGAGTGCGGGAGTGTTCAGGCAACTTATATATATAAATATATATGTATACACACATACATACTTGCAGTGTTATTTTAGTATTTTATTAATATTTTAATTTAATTAATTATAATATAAATATTTTAAAGTAGCTTTTATTTTTGTACATTCAGTTTTCATTTTAATTTTAGTTCAATTTTTAGTAATTTTGTTTTGTATTTTTGCCATTTTTATTACTTAAATGTCTGTAGTTTTTATTAATTTGATTTCTTAGTTTATTTCGTTTTAATTATATTAGTAATTCAAGTTAAACTAAATGAAAATAAGAAATGCTGCCTTGGCAATTAGATGAAATAAAATACTTTTATGTATTTCATATATTTTATTTTATTTCAGTTAATGTTTTATTTTATTTCAAATGATGAAAATGTTTATTTTATGGTTTTAGTTTTAGTTAACCTTGTGTAAAAGCAGTGTTTTTTTAGTATCTCTATTATAGTTTTTATTAATATTTTGAATTAGATTTTTGTTTTTATATTTTTTGTTTTTACTCATTTTAGTTAAAGTTTTTGCAATTTTGTTGTGTTTTGTATTTTCTTAAATATCTCTGTTATTTTTATTATTTTTTATTTATTAGTTATAGTTTATATATATATATATATATATACACACAGTATATACTGTATATATATATATATATATATATACACACAGTATATACTGTATATATATATATATATATATATACACACAGTATATACTGTATATATATATATATATATATATACACCAAGGTGTGTGTGTATATATATATATATATATATATACACACAAATACACACACACACATACAAAGAAAACAAGTAGATATAATAGAAAAAATAGAAAGCTAGTGTTTTTTTTTATAAAAAAGAACATAGATAAAGTAGAATTAAAATAGAATAGAAAATTCTAGAGTTAGAGGGTCAAATAAAGATAATAAATAATAAATAAATAAAGTTAATAAATAATCATATTATTTTATTTCAGCTTTATTCCAATTAACAAAAATGTTTTAGTTAATGATAATAACCCTGTTTTGGTGTTGCAAAAGGTCCAGAAATAAATTGAGCAAAATAAGTTTTGAGCTTCATGTTTTGTTTTTTAGGAAATTAATACTTTTATTCAGCAAGGATGCATTAAATGAATCAAATGTGACAGTAAAGACATTTATAATGTTACAAGATATTTTTATTTCGAATAAAAGCTGTTCTTTTGAACTTTCTATTCATCATAGAATCCAGAAAACGTCATCAAAGTGTCCACCAAAATATTAAACAGCACAACTGTTTTCAACATTAATAACATTATGAAATGTGTCTTGAACAGCAAATCAGCATATTAGAATGATTTCTGAAGGATCATGTGACACTGAAGACTGGAGTAATGATGCTGAAAATTCAGCTTTTCCATCACAGGAATAAATTACATTTTAAAATATATTCAAATAGTTAACAGTTATTTTAAATTGTAATACTATATTTCACAATTTTACTGTTTTTACTATACATTTGATCAAAAAAATTTAGCCTTGGTGAGCATAAGAGACTTGTTTCAATAACATAATTTTTTTTTACCAACCCCAAACTTTTAAACGGTAGTATATTACATTCCAAACATTTGTCCTTAATATTTGCATATAAAAATTAAATATTGCAGATAGTCAGTTTTCCTTTGCACTTCTAAAATAACCATCACATGCAGTAACCAACCAATTGTTTTATCTTGTCAATGCCTCCATGCTAGTCAAAGCCCTTGAAGCTTGGGGAAATCAGGAAGGTCATGGTGGATGTAATTGGCTGTCCTCGGCTCTCTGATTTGTGGTGGGCTGGACTCTGATTGTCTGTCTGTGGGCACGGGCTCCCGGCACGCATGATCTCCCACTTAATCGTATCAGACCGTTGGAGCAGAAACCTGTGTGTGTGTGTGTGTGCTGTGATCTGTTCGGCACGTGTGTATTGATCCAGAAGAACAAGAATGCCAGGCTTTTATTTTCACTCACAGTCTGCATGCGGAGATTCCCAACAGAACCAACCTGATTGAATAGGAAATCTTGAGAATATAAGCATTTGCATTGGTTATGTACTCAGGTGTTTTGTGTGTTGCTCTCCACTGTGTTTCACTCAGTGATTTGTTTGTGTTGATTTTGTGCTGACCAATATAGTAGTGCATTTAGACTTATATTGACAGCATCACACTGCCGAGTTTTTACATTTTCACTATCATTGCCGTTGTTGAAATGAAGTCAGGCATTAATGTATTGCTTGAACGAAAGTGTCCAATAAAAGGTATATTAACAAGTGATGATGTGAGAAGTGAGAAGTATTAAGCTGCTAATGTGATCTCAACAGGTCTGTCTAAAAATCAAATAGCTTTTATTAGGCTACTGATATTACTTCAATCTCATATGCATGTACATAATTTGACACATTTTTCAAAAGTACTATTAAACTTTTTTTTTTAGCAGTAAAACATTTTAAATGTGGAAAATACTGAGTGAACCTTTAAATAATGCAGTAAACCACGAGAGATAGATTTTACGAAGAAATACAAATTATTTTTTCTAGTGCTGTCAATTGATTAAAAAAATAAACAAAATTAATTGCACATTTTTTCTGAAATTAATCACGATTAATTGCGATTAATCCCACCTAACAAGTTATTCAATATATTTTTATATTGGAATAATTTCACATTCAATCTTCAAAATTAATGAAGAAACAACATAAAGATAGTATATTTTTAATATTTGTTTAATGGCCTCTTTTTATGACTGAAGGCGAGTATCACTGATACCAACACTACTGATGTCTCTAGGAAATATTTTTTTCTAATATTTAACCATTGACTGTAGCCATTCAACATTACAGTATAATTGAGAACTATCAATTTTAACATTTATTAGACTTTTAAAAAATTACTTCTAATTTAAATGAACTTAAAACAATCTTCACATAAACCCATTATAATAAATGTCATATATTTACCTGTGCCCTTCAGCAAGTGGGAAATATACAGAAATTGATAAAGTTGAGCCTCGTGACTAAACAAAGGGCGCCAATGTGAGTGTGCACACCGACGCGCAAAACGCGAGGTGTAAAAGCATAATTTTTTAAAGAACGCCTCGGGCTCTTTTTTTTGGTTTGATGCGCCACGTTAAAAACTGGCCGGCCAATGAGATTGGCGCTTTTGTTAACGATTATGACAAACGCGACAGCGACTACAAAAATCTTGATAAGAGGGAGTTGTTATGGAGAGGAATTGCAGATCAAATGGGATTCGATGTGTCTAAATCCCATTATTTAGATGCCATCTAATGTCAGGGAGTGAATTTGCACGTTCACTCGGCTCATCACCAGCACAAAAGCACAAAATATGAGCACAAAAGACGCGTCAAAAAACGTCGGCGATAAGCGCACGCGATAATCGTCCCAGTGTGTACGAGGCTTTAGATGAGTGAGACAGTGCTGCTGCTCCAGGACAGTTTTGAAAACCACTGCATTTCACAGACATGCTCTTAAATGTGACTCATATATAACAAATACTTACAAATACTTACATGCACAGTGTAACAAAGTTTGTAGATCGGGAAGAAGGAGGCGGGAACCGGCGAACATTTAAACATAAAACTTTAATAAACAAATGAACGAACACAAAATGAAAGTAAAAGCAGCAGCCCCTCACGGACGACTGCCACATAAAACAACAACATAAAATCTAGGCCTGGTCCTCTCTCGTCCTTCACTGTCGTCGCTCCTCCTTTTATCCTTCCGGAGCTCCTACGTGGGACTCGAGACTGGTGTGTGGCGCAGGTGGCGCTAACATTTAAACATAAAACTTTAATAAACAAATGAACGAACACAAAATGAAAGTAAAAGCAGCAGCCCCTCACGGACGACTGCCACATAAAACAACAACATAAAATCTAGGCCTGGTCCTCTCTCGTCCTTCACTGTCGTCGCTCCTCCTTTTATCCTTCCGGAGCTCCTACGTGGGACTCGAGACTGGTGTGTGGCGCAGGTGGCGCTCATTATCATTAACTCCACTGGCCTCGCTCCGTTCCCACGGCTCTCGGCCCCGCCCCACTCGTCACATACCCCCCCATCGCCCCTCGCAGGCCGGGGGGTACTCCCGAGACTGCGCTCTACTC